GACAGGCATCATCTGTGTTTAGACATCGGTAAATTGTACGTTTCCTCACTTCAAGATATAGTCATGGGGTGTGAGTGTGCGTACAATTTACTTTTTTTGCATTTGTTCGTTTGTATGACATTTGTATATCCGCGTGCTTTTTTGTTGTTCCTGTCCATACGCCTGCGCGTACATTTTAGGCGCCAGCAACTTAACGCGTCATTTCAATGCTTTTCAAGTTTGGCTGCGTGATACTGTCAAAATAAGATAAGATAATTTAATGTCTAGACATATGGATTTGTGTTCTTGTTTGGTACTCTTATTAGGTTTTGGGACAAAAATCCTCAGGAAGTCATTTGTTGGGATTCAATGGAATGGAATTATTTAAAAATAAATAAATGATTGAATTCTATACAGACTAGCAGCAGCTAGAATAATCTTGAAATGTGTTATTTTGTCAAAAGCATGAGTAATAATTTTTTTTGTTTGATTTTGTTTTCTTCCCTAGTTGGCAACACAAATTAAATAGCGGCAACGAATTGGATCCACATCATCATGATGTAGCCGTTTTGATAACCCGTAAAAATATATGCGGTAATAATTGCATGTAAGTAGCTATTAGTTATAACAACATTTTTAGTAATTCAAATTGGGGTTTGAATTCATTAATACGTTTTGAATTGATGCATGTGTGTGTTATTTTTATTTATTTACCAACAGGACCCTGGGTCTGGCCAATGTCGGCGGAATGTGTAAACCAAAACAGTCTTGTAGTGTTAATGAGGACAATGGCATTATGTTATCACATACCATAGCCCATGAGTTGGGCCATAAGTGAGTATAAATATTTTTTAATTGTTATAAGATATTCTAAATTTTGATGATTTTTTTAACACTAGAAAGACTGGAAATTTGTATATACCTATATTGCCTAAAATAGGTCAAAATTACCTCATTCTGAAAGAACTTTTATTATGTAAGGAAATTTTTTTTCTTCGGGTTTCCCTTTTTGAAAAATAAGAGTGCAGACAAAATTTTCAAAACAGAGTAAGTGTTTACTCTAAGAGTGAAATTGACTGGAAATATAAAAGTTATTTTTTCCAATTTGTGTGTTTGTTTGTGTTTCAAGAGTAGCAAACGGTTTTCGATGTTGTTGTACTGATCTGGTCATAGTAGTTTGGTTATTTAATATTTTACAAGAGGTCAAAATGACTGATTTTAGGCAATGTAGGTATAGCACATGTTTATACCGGGAATCAAAGAGGGGGGAGCAGCTACTATGATTAATAAACGTAGTTGTATGTGGTACAAAAAGTCACCAAATTTTAAAAAGCTGTGTCATAATATACACAATTGTTTTTGTACTTGAAATTGAAAAAGGTCAAAATGACCGCCTTCGGCAATCTAGTGTTAAGGATTGTGATTCCTATAATCTTGAATGTTTTAAGATTTTTTTTGGAAAGAACTAAGATTGATTTTTTTGAAGCTTAATTTCCTAGAAATAAAATTTAAAAATATTTTTTCATGTCACTAACAATGCGTGGATTTTTAAAATTTAAAAAAAATCCTGTATCTAACGAGGAATGGGTTTTTAAAATTTTTTTCCTATCGGCGTGGATTTTTAAAATATTGTCTCTATTCTATTCCTAAAACCTCAAATCTCTAAAACGTAGACCGATATTGATTACGTATGGTAGGGTAAAACATTTATATAAAATCCTCAAAATACTGCAATTTGGAGGGAAAGGTTATATAAGGCTATAACTAAAGCGGGGCCAATATTGATTACATCGTGTAGGAATTAGGGAATATTTGGGTTTAACATTATATAAGGGGATAGTCCTATTATTTCAGATGTGTATCTCAATACCATTTCATTCTCGAAGCGGGCGTTCTAGTTTTTTGTATCTCGATATCCTCCGAAGGTAAAATAATTACAACTGATGGCTAAATCAGTCAATTCGTCTTAGAATTCCATACGTTGTAGGGTATAAACTGACAATTTCTCCCATATTATAATAAAATACGTGGACAACTCCAAAACGTGGAACAAGTCAGTTAACCATTTTAATATAAAAACTGTAAGGAATGTAGTAAAGTCAGACTATGCCGACTATAAAATACACCAATTAAAAAAACGCTATTAAGTCATTCTAGTCACAATTTTATGAATTTTGATACGTTTTGATACACGCAAATTTCGTGTCAATAGGACAGATATATGGTAGCTATATCTAAATCTGAACCGATTAAAACGAGACTTGTCAGAGATTAAATTCTGTACATTGTACGGAATTGTGTGTCAATCGGCCTAGCTTTGTGTATTAAGTGCACCATTTACTTAAACCGGACCAAAAATATATATATAGGAGCTATCTGGCATTTTTACAAAATTAGATATTACGAAATGCCTAATTTTGTGCAAATCAAAAACTATAGAGAGACTTTTGTGCACCATTTACATAAAATCGGACGAAAATATAGGTATATGGGAGCTTTATCTAAATCTGAGCCGATTTTTACGAGACTTAGTGCACATCATTCCAGACTCAATTCAGGATCCTTTGCAAAATTTCGTGCAAATCGAAAGAAATATATGGGAGCTATATCTAAATCTGAACCGATTATCACGAAACTTAACACACATCATTGTAGTCTTCATTCAGTACGCTATGCCAAATTTCGTGCAAATCGAAGGATATATAGGGACTTTGGTGCACCATTTACCTTAAATCGGACGAAAATATATATGGGAGCTATATCTAAATCTGAATCGATTTCAACAAAACTTAACACACATCATTTTTAGACTTATTTCAGTACACTATGCCAAATTTCATGCAAATCGAAAGATATATAGGGACTTTGGTACACCATTTACAATAAATCGGACGAACATATAGATGGGAGCTATATCTAAATTTAAACCGATTTTCCCGAAACTGAGCATACTTCGTTCCAAATTCAATTCAGTGCGTTATGCCAAATTTCATGCGAATCGAAAGTAATATAGTGGCTTTTGAGCACCATTTACATATAATCGGACGAAAATATATATGGGACCTATATCTAAATTTGAACCGATTTTCTTTAATTTCAATAGGGTTCGTCCTTGGGCTAATTAAGTGACCTGTGCCAAATTTCATCCAAATTGGATCATAAATGCGACCTGTACTTTGTTAACAAAAATACATGGACGGACGGACAGACGGACATGCATAAATCGACTCAGAAAGTGATTCTATGCATATTCTCAAAAGGAACCATGGGTCCATTTCGATTATTTTTGCCTGTTACAAACATATGCACAAAGACAAAATACCCTGTGTGGTGAAGGGTATAAAAAGGCTATGAAATAATATGATCCATTAAGTATTTCTCTGCTATAATTGTATTTCATTGTTCAACAAAAAACCCATTAATATTAAAATCTAATTGCTTTCTAATAACAAAAAACAAAACTTTCATCATTATTATAAATTTGCTCTGCTTAAAGAATTTCTTGGTATTTAATTGATTGGAATATGTTTTTATACCCTACACAACTATCTTGTCAGGGTATTATAGCTTTGTGCAACCCTAAAATTTTGTAACGCTGCGAAATATTGGTCCTAGACCCACATTTAAGTATACCAATCGTCATATCTCGACTAGCTCAGTCGATCTAGACATGTGTGTCCGTCCATCAGGATGACTTCTGGCCAATGAAGACCCCTATTGTTTTTGGAAAAGATCAGTTAATATTTAGGGGATGAAATGGACCAAAAACTTTATTTTTGTCGGTTTTTCTGGTCGCTCCAGAGGCCGCAATTATGGCCTAAACACCGCGAATTTTTGCAAGCAAGCCTGTTTTGATAAAGATCGGTCAATATTTAGCGGGTCAAATGGACCCTAACTTTTGTGTGAAAAATGACAAAATTTGTATTCTATAGCGTATATATTTACCACTGAAAGACATAGACACGACAAGTTTATAGTATATCCAAGAGGAGCGGTTGACCTTTAAATTGATACCAATTATATTGTCGTAGGTACTCGGATGCGGGAGTTACATTTAAATATTTACAGGTGCTTACGTATTCATATATTATTTAGTAACCTATTACCACACTGGAGGGCGGAAATATAGCGCTGATCGCTTTGAAATGTTCCATGAGGTTCCAGTTATGGTCAAGGACAACGCCTAAAATGTTAGGTGATGATCAGATAATATTTTTCGGATGAAGTGGACAGAAAACTTAAATATTTGTACTTTTCAAGTCGAAAGCCGAACATCACAACACAACCCACGGTGAAGGGAATATGTACAAGTAAATAGAGGTGCTGTACTGATTATTAGTAACATTTGCTGACCTCTAGTCAGCAAAAGTGTGCAAATATCGCGAAATATTGCCCAATCTCAGAATATAGAACCACAGAACGTTAGATTTTCATGGAAGTTGTGTAGGGTATCGTATGGTCGGCCCCGTCCGACTATACTGCTCAGCTCACTGGTTAATATTCGCCCCGTTTTTCGGGTAGTCATCATATAACCCCCTTTATATTTATATTAAGGGACCCCCCATTCTCAATTTTTTATTTTTAAGATTTTAAATGGGCTGGTAAATGAATACCAATGCTTGTTAAGGTTTGTAACTTTGCACATATATATTTGAAAAGGAAGAAAAATAAAAAAAAAATTTTGTTGTTGCCTTGTTGTTGTTTTTTGTGATTAAAGAAAAGTCCTTATTTTTGATGGCGGGCATGATAACTCCTCACTGGAACATCGGAATCCGAAAATTCCAACGGTGTTAGAAAGAGTACATGTCTGGCTCTTGTATGAACTACGATTAATGACTTCGCTCTAAAATTAACAAAATGGCGGACCTTTGAAAAAATATTTTTCGAAAATCGCCGATTTTTGACCAAAAAATTAGGAAGATCTTCACCGATTGGCTTTATCCTAGTTCATACGATAGCTATACACTCACAAAGAAACGTGTAAAAATTTGGAATCGATTGTGTTATTAGTTTTTGAGTTATCGTGCCCGCCATTCGCAAAAGAGAAAAACGCGTTTAAAGTTTGAGAAGCCCTTTAGCCGTCACTTGATGCTGACACAATAAATCGGCTATATCTTCAAGAGTTCTTGAGATTTTCACTTGAAATTTTGTAGGGGCATTCTTGAATTAGTGTAGACTCGAATTAAATCAAAAAATTTTTTGACCCCGAGAATGGGGGGGTCTTCTTAAATCAGTTACCTAATTTGTTCTGCGTTTTGGGGTTGGTTCTAAGGCTCTGTTCTACTCATTTCACCTGCGGAGGATATCGAAATAAAGAACTAAAACGTTCGATAACTATAACCCGCATTTGGGCCTAGGCCCTGTGTGGGAGGTACCAGAAGGGGTGGACCGATATTCCCCATCTTCGAACTTAAACTAAGTTTGGAAGAAATAATAAGATGGGCAATGTTTGGATGAAATCAACATTTTGGCCCAAAGAAACATGGGATCTAGAACCAATATTTCGATGTTGCAAATTTTCGCCGTGTCAAAGTGTATACACCCTCATTAGCCATAAGGCTAAGGGTATAATTTTTCATTTAAGATTTCTGAAATTTGTATTATGGTTTAAATAATAAATTTGTAGAAATGTCACTATAGGTACACATTTTTGTATTTTCTCTATATTTTCATTTCAAGTACCTGTCAGTATATCTATGGTGGAAGATATCCAAAGTTCGGCCCGGCCGAACGCTTTTCCCTTGTTTTATTTTAGATTTTTTATGTAGAACAATTAAATATATAATCATTTTTAAAAGGAGATCTACTTACCCAACGTAATACTAAATTAAACC